CTTCTGCAAATAGCACTCTCTTCATCGTTTTCACCAAGAATATTCCCATGCATAAGGCTGTCCATGGCATCAGAAAATAGTAAGAGTATTTCAACGATATTCTTCCTATGGCAGCTAGACACAATCCGGTAAATGCATATCCAGCATATGCAACGATATCGAGTAATGGTGCCTCCCCACATCCTAGTGATAAGAGTGTTACTTTAAGCAGCATGACTTGCATAAACCAACCGAGCAATCCTTTGATGAACAACCAACTCAAAGCTTCTGGAGTAAACCTGTAATGATTTTAGAAAAAGAAAAAATAATAATTGTTAATAATTCTCATTCTTGACTGTAGTTGAAACGAATACCAGAAGGATATCTGAGAAAGATAGAGCACAGCAAAAGTTGAAAGTGTAAAACAAAGTTGAATGGAAACCGCTAGTCTTTGAACTTTCAAAAGTTTCATTAATACCCTTGAACAAAGACATGTACGCCATCAGCAATATAATCAGCCACAAACAATATTGAATTCTTAAGTAGCAGCTGAGGTCACAGAGGAAACTCTAGGTGAAAGGAAGAACATGAGCGCCTATTAACTATTTGGCCTTCACATCTCAAAATCTAGACCATAGACTAAGCATAATTGCAACTTCAAAAGATACTGTCAAGATCCTTTAAAGCACCTTGGCAAAGAGCACCACTACGGCCCCAAAAAGGTGTTCGCTCATGCAGATCTCCACGGCAAAGAACTTAACATTCTTGGGCCTTTCTATTGGGCGTCAAAATTATAAATAAAATAACCTAAGATTTATATGTATTTTGTGTAAATGTGCTTTTGAGAGATTGGAACATGTAACAGTTCTTGTCATGCTATAGTTGAGAAGGAGTTTTTGGCTCCTTTGGTTTTATGTTTCTTTTTTGTTCAGTTGTAAATCGTTGTCATTTTCCACTCATCTTTTAAAATAAGAAAAAAAGGATTATAATGATGGTACACCCGAAGACGTATTTGCACTCACTTTCCTTGAAGACCAAGTGAGAAGCCTGCAAGAACAACATAAGTGCCGAAAGCCATGAACGGAATGTACAAGTCTGGTGCATTGATATCATAAATTGGTGGTTTATACGAAAGTCTTCCTCCAATTGGGTCAGTTATTCTTGTCCAGTGGCCCTAAAACAAAGCAATATGCCAAGGAGTAATGAGGAGAGAGTAAGGGCAACTAAAATCAACAAGAAATTATAAGATTAGTACATACCCTGTGTAGAAATGGAAATAGGACAACCTTCAATTTATTCCTCACATACTGGTCATTCACTTGGAAGTAGTATTGAGGATCAGAAAAGTACCTACTTATCTGTCCATCGCAAAAATAAAATTAAAAAATGAAAACCTAATTCAAAAAAGGCTAAAAAATGCCTTCTATCATCTGAGAACAGAAAAGTGAACTGAAAAATTTAGGCGCATGCTTGAGAATTTCAAAGTGCCCAATCAATAGAAGGTATTCATCTTTCTTGCCAGGTCTTAACATAGAATCAATTCCATCATCCTTGAATGAGATGAGGATAAAAAAAAATGTTTACGAATAAGTCTTCATATAATTTTGTGAAAAGTTTAGGTCGTAAAAGAACAGAAAAGGCACACCAACTATAGGCATGAAATTCAATTAGATCTAGAACCTCTTACCAACTTAAGAACTTTGAAATATTCTCATATCTTAAAAACAGAACTCCACGCACAAAAGGTTTTCTGCAATTATGCCTCAAGGTTCTTTTCATCTCCCCTTTTGAATCCATTACACAAGACAATAGCTCCATACCTTCTTCGACTGAATCTCCAAGTTCATTAGAATCTTTGAAAGCAGAGAAGGGAGCAGAGAATTGAAAGTAACTATAAACTGAAGGGGCGATGAAAAAATAGATGATGGGGCTTGGAATTCGGATCTAGGCAGCTTAAATAACAGCTCGGTTCAGTTTTTTCCGTGGTCACTCTCTCAAAGTAAAGGGTCCACAAAATTGCTTTACTTTGTTAGGGCATCACTCGTCCTCAAAATAACATGTCAGAGATCCTTATAAAAGCCAGGTAGTGGAACCCCACAGGCACATAATATACAACTTTAAGACTTGACTGGAAACATATGTATGTTGGAACTCTACTTCATAGAGCTTCAACCTAGATTAGATTCTTTCACAGAGATGCAATGAAAAACCTAAGTTAAATGCAATCTGGCCATAATTTAAAGAGCTGGGGAGCTTTAGGTTAAATGCAGTTGAAACAACTCTTTTGGGTTCATGGAGAGAAATGAAAGAGTGGATAGAAGCAATGATTACAAGAGGCAGTATAAATGGTTAAATTAAAATGTTCTGTATGTAGTTCACTATCTCCATGCTCTTGTAAATTAATATGAATTCGGTAGTTTTATAAAGTCTTACACGGTTGAGCAGACATAGGAGGCATTAATATTCCCCCAAGAAGATAAGAGGAAATATTGTTACAGTCCTAGCCATTAAACTTTATGTCCTTTCACTGACTAAAAAGAAAAAAAAGTGCTTCTTGTGTAAGAAAAATTGTAATGGGATTGTAAGAAACAACACTAACCACGCTCACCAAGTTGTGATTTTGCATTTTTATAGATATCTATATCTTTTTTTGAACTATAAATCTTGAATGGTGATAAATTTACAGATTAACTAGTACTCACATTGCTTTGAACGTACTCTGAGCTTGATCCAAATATTTTCTCTCCATATGCACCCAGCCCACCTCGGATTAGTCCGGATCCGGCACCATAAAATGCATTTCCAAATGGATTTGGCTGAGAGCTTGGTAGAGGTTTTGAAGCTGCAGACTGAGCTTCAACATTATTATACATTTCTGCATTTGGAAAAAAAAAAGGTCAACAGACAAAAGAAGCACTCCTCACGAGTATATGTATATTTCTTTTTCAACTTAAGAGTATAGTACTTGAATCATATAAGATGTTCTCTTTGAAGTTTGATTTTGGTTCTTTGTTATTATTGTATTAAAATGAGGGATGAAGCCGGCACTCAAACACACTTTCACCAACAGACCATATCAACAAATTAAAAACATTCTTAACTCAAAAAAAAGTAGGATATCAATCTGATTACAAAGTAAAGATTCGGGACCCAAACGTGGCCAGTTTAGAACAACAATCTGAAAAACGTGCAGTCACAACAAATGGTCAAAAATCTGAAACAAACACCATGGATTCAAAGTTGCAATTTATATACCTTTTACCTTGAAGCATATTGGTGTAGTTATTCAAAATTGCAAGTATTGTTACAGCTAAGCCTCAATTTGATCACTCATTGCCTCTCACGAAGTTAAAATTTGGTGTCTCAATGGGAATTTGCTTGGAATATTTACAGGTAACAAAACCTCCAAGGGAAATCTTTATTCAACTTTCTCAAATGCTAAAAAGTTCCCAAAAATCAATTGAAGCTCATCTTTATGATAAAAATAAATAAATAAATAAAAACTCCAACATTAACAATTTCCAAAACCGAATCAGATCCCAAAAAGCGCCACAACATTCAATTTGAACCCAAAAACTTCGAACTCACAAAGCAGAAATCGTTATGATCCTAAAATAATAAGAAGCTGTCACAACACTAGAATGAGATCTCAAGTTCGATAAGAATATAAACCAAAGGAAAAGAACTAGCTAATACCATAAGAAGCAAGTAAAAATTCACGCAATTCATGGAAATGAAACACACCATACGTTCCAAATTCCGAACAAATCAATCTAATGAAGCAAAGCAAGAAAAAAAACAAAAGGCGAACCTCTGAAAAAACACGACCGAACCGAAGATCAACAGGCTGAAAATGACGAAAAGAAGGTGCGAAACGGACTGGCGAAGGCTCTGCTGTGGCACGGTGGAAGGGGTCGAAAAGGTTCCGGTCAAGGCCTCCTCGCTTAGGGGAGAAGAAAGCGTGTTGTAGACTGAATCTGAACGTGAACTTGGGTCGGCTCTCGGCCAAGACTGTGACTTGGGCTCGGGCTCCATTTAGACAACCATTTGGTTACGGGCAATAACAAGAGTCCTGCCCTAAAATATCTTTCAATTTTATTAAATATAGATTAAACTAATAAAGGATGATTTTGCACGATAGAATAACATTACCCATATCAATGTCAATTATCGATATGGGCTCGGATTAACTTAGCTCGAGCCTCAATTAAAGAGAGGTTCTTCTTCAGAGGGCTCCATAGACCTCATGAGAGAATTGTTGAGAGAGAGTCTTATACGGCTAATTAAGGGGATAAGAATCATTTTTAGAAGTCCCGAGAGACATCTTTTCTTTGTTTGTTGAGTAATGATTCATACGTACGTTCCACCCGTTTTTGGCAACTTTTACTTTTAACATGATTCAGTGCTTACGTGCCCTTTACTCCCCGTCTTTCCAAAGAACAATTGTCCCTCCCCTCCCCTCCCCTCCCCGTCTTATTGAGGTTGCAGTCATTGAGTTAACCAAAGCTTCTTCCTCTAGTCCTGTTATGATCGTGCACTTGATGAAAGAGCATCGATACTTAGATCGTTGTTAGCACTTTTAAATGCGGGCGAGGAAAAGCCAACATCTTATAGATTTCTAACATACTAAATTTTATTTTTAAAAAATGTTAATTAATCTATGGGATAAATTTAACATTTTTTAAAATTCATTATTGTTTTTTCTTTTTTCCTGAAAATAGAATTGAACCGCGGCCCAAACGAAACTAGACCAGTTGAAATCCAAACATTAACTCCACGTAAAGAGGTCCACAAAAACTAATTACGTGTCACTATATGATTCGTCCAATCTCACACGTTGACTTTTATGTTTGAAATCTGCCAAATCAATAGACGACACGTGGTTCAAAGCCGAATCCCCATCTTTACATCCTGAACCCGACCACCGCCACCACGGTCTCTTCCCCTCTCTCTCTCTCCGCTTCGAATCCCTCTCTCTCTCCCACTTTGATCAAATACCCTCCTGAAAATTTTCAGTAAGTTTCTATTTTCAAGTCTCTTCACTTATTAATTCATTTGGATTCTCCAGTTTCTAAACTCAACGATTCGACATTTTCGGGGTGATTTGATTTTGGGTTCTTTTTCTTTGATAGTTTATGGGATGTGGGGGTGCGTTTATTGGTGGGAAATCATGAAATTCGGTGCTGTTTGTGTGCTTTTTTTGTTTGGGAGATCGAGATAATGTAGGTCAAAATTTCAATGGACGGCCGAGAATTTCAATTATCTGTACCGCGTTTGAGTTTGGTGACTTGGGTCGTGTTTCTTTCCCTTTTGCACTTGATTTTTGTATGATTTCAGGCATTTGTTGAACTGATAAACTCATCAATCAACATAAATTCGTGTCATGTATGGCTTCTCATCCTTGTGTGCATGGAAGGTGTTTGTATAAATGCTTGCTTAGTGACTTTTTTCTGCAAGGATTAGTGTTCATCTGTTCCTTTTGATTTCATATTGGTTATAGTCTTTTATGAAAGGGATTGATTGTTGATTGCAGTGGAGTTTGGGGTTGATGGTGATAGTGAAGTGGTGGGAAATTCAACTCTGGTGGAGGATAGTAAACCACTTGATGAAAACGAAACAGGTGTAAGTTCGATCGAAAGGATTTTCGATCACGACCGGGATGAGAAAATCATTCAAGATTCATCTGGAAGGAATGCAATTCTGGATTCAGTTCCTGGATTGCCAGTAGTTCAAGGAGATGAGCCATATATTGGCCAGGAATTTGAAAATGAGGCAGCAGCTCATGCGTTTTATAATGCTTATGCTACTCGTGTTGGTTTTGTGATTCGTGTTAGCAGGCTCTCGCGATCGAGACGTGATGGAACGGCTATTGGACGTGCACTAGTCTGCAACAAGGAAGGTTACAGAATGCCGGACAAGCGGGAAAAGATCGTGAGGCAAAGGGCGGAGACAAGGGTAGGCTGCAGGGCAATGATCTTGGTGAGGAAAATAACTTCTGGGAAATGGGTTGTCACTAAATTTGTAAAAGAACATACTCATCCTTTGTCACCTGGGAAAAGTCGAAGAGATTGCATATATGATCAATATCCGGTAAGTTCTTGTTCCACATACCATTATTTGCATTCTCAATTCCTGACACTGTTACACATGTTGTTCTGATTGTAGTCTGGCGTGCATTAGTTGTAAATTGGATTATCTTGGAATGAATCATCTGGCTTTTTCCGAATAAGCTTTCTCCAGCAAGTTTGAGTTAAAGAAGTAAAATGGACAATGCAGCTATTTGAAACTGGTATTTTATCTATCTTTGTTGCTTTATTTGAGGCTAGGTGCACTTACCTAGACATCCTACATCCTCGATCCTCCCTCAAGGCGTGCACGCACATAAACACAAAAATGTTGTATTTAACCGAACATGTTTTTGAGATATAGGCTTCATAGTTACAGAAATTGGTGTACTATGACGAAGGAAAGTCATCATGCCTATCGTGTCGATGCCCGTTGAACCGACTCTAACTAAAATTGTGTACGTAAAGTGATAGATCAAACATGCGGGCTTGTCTTATGTTGTGCTTCTATCAATGATATCTTATTTTCTATTGTTTGATTGGCACTATGGGAATTTATGTGGAATTCAGAAAGAATATATGAGTTGTGAGATCCTATGTCGGTTGGGGAGGAGAACGAAATATTCTTTATAAGGGTGTGGAAACCTCTCCCTAATAGACGCGTTTAAAAACCTTGAAGGGAAAGCCCAAAAAGGACAATATCTGCTAGCAGTGGCCTCGGGCTGTTACAGTTGGTATTAGAGCCAGACATTGGGCGTTGTGCCAGCGAGGACATTGGGCTCCCAAGAGGGGTGGATTGTGAGATCCCACATCGGTTGGAGAGGGAAACGAAGCATTCTTCATGAGGGTGTGGAAACCTCTCCCTAATAGAAGTGTTTTAAAACTTGAGGGAAAGCCCGAAAGGAAAAGACCAAAGAGAACAATATCTGCTATAGTGGTTCTTCAGGCTGATACTATGAACGAACTTGGCATTATGGATTAGAGTGCACATTTCGTTAATACATTGAGAGTAAGGTTCATGTCTCTTCCCTCTTGAAATTGAGCTGGACATCTATGTTTAGTATGCTTTTTTATAAAGAAAATGATCGGTGGCCATTCTTCCACTTTTTCTTGCTTTCATATACCTTGACTAGGTTCGAATCTCCATTCTCCCACGTGTTTCTGTTGAACTCAAAAAGGTTGTTTATCGATTCCAGTTGATTTTTTTGTCTTATTTGTTGCATTACTTGCCACAAAGAGGGCACTCTTGATCTTACCTTCTCTAAATAGTTTATGTGATATGTTAGATCTTTGATCTCGGTCTCTTTGAGTAGTGTGTATCTTGCTAGTTTTGGTCCTCTCTGTTGGTACATTTAGCATGACATAGAAATTGATCTATCCTCTATAGGAGAGTGACTCAAGGAGAGGGCAGATTTTCTTTGTTCCAAGCGAGAAAGAAAGTCATAGGCACGTAGGTTCAGGGCCAGTTTGGGTCCCATTTGGATTCGTTGGCATTGGTTTCTAGCTTATGCCTTTGACTCTGCTCGAACCATTTCTTCTCTATTCTTTGTTATAATACTTAAAACAGTTGAGTGACTTTGTTTTTCATAGTCTCTTTGTGTGTACTTTTTTAGGCTTACTGCAATTGCCAATGCATATCTGGTTCTTTAACTCAACTTTTGCCATCCTTGCATTGCAGAACGAACACGATAAGATACGTGAGCTATCTCAACAGCTTGCAGTTGAGAAAAAGCGATCTGCGACGTATAAAAGGCATCTAGAAGTGATATTCGAATACATCGAGGAGCATAATAATAACTTGTCGAGAAAGATCCAACATATAGTAGACAATGTGAAGGAGATGGAAAACATAGAACAGCAGAATCTTAGATAGTATTTGGCCATACTTTTATACTTGCAATTTGGGATTTCAAAATGGGTTGCTGGATGGATGAAGAAATTGTTAGGTCAGTGGTATTCATTGTGATATCTTCCAGCATTTGGTTGCTAATTCAGTTTCACAAAAATGGAGTATTGCTTATGGTATTCATTGCATGTAAATCCATGTTTTGTACAGTATTCGAACGATTTTTATCTTATTTTGAGACGTTATTGATTAGCTCATCTTTATGAACATCGTAGTTGATTGCATGGAAATAAGAAACAACAAACAAGAACGGTTGTCGGGTTTTGATGGCTAGTTGAAAACCATGAAGTGGGTAATGTTAAAGATCAATTAGATGATGAAATGAATGTTAATTCAACAAGTATAACTTACCCTTAATCATGTGATCATAGGCTATGTATAAGAAAATTAAGAGTTCAAAAATTAAAACCACATCACAGTCAGAATCGAACGTTTCAATGTCGAAGCGAAGCTAAGAAGGCTAGAAACCAGAGGCAAAGAAGGCATATACGCTCACTGAACCATTGTGTATATATATGTGAGTATAGATCTTAACCGGTTGAGTATAAGTTCATAGAAGAGAATCAAAACTTATAAAACATTAAACCCGAACCTCAAAGAACAGCATCCAATCCCTATGCTTGTTTGGGAGACAAAGTTCAAACTACTTCAAAATAATCACTCAAAAAACATTTCTGTTCACTCGGATCATGTTTTTTAAGCTATCTGAACAGTGTTCTTAATTATGAAAAAAGAAGGAAACCAATCTTACAGCTGTGAACGTGTTGTTATGTCATCCCAAAGTGCAAAGCATTCCTCCATCCTACATGTCGTAAGGCTTAGAAGAAGCCTGTGAAGCATTTTGTCTCAAGCATCCTACTTTCCCATATGTGATAGTATCCTGCATATCAGGGCTTCCTTCTTTCCAGATACGGGAAGATCGTGTGCGGTCAAATAATACTTCAACTCGACAACCGACAATTCCTTCAGCTGCAAATATGGAGGCAAAACTTTCAAAGAGGTTGAATTACGGTGGTGGATGATTTCAAACCATTCGATAAACGAGGCACAAAAAATCAGTATATTATATGAATCTGCTGCCTCTTATATCTAGGAACCATGCTTCCTATATTAACACGTGTCCAACAAAAACACGCGGGAGGGTTTGGCAACTCGATGTCGGCTCTTCGCCACGAATTTGCCAATCATGAGTTGGGTGCTTTAACCATTCAGCCATGGAGAGCATCCACACAGAGTGATCGGTCCGCTACTTCGCGCAAATCCGAAGAAATTATCATGGCACAGATAAACGACTATCTTGTTCTATCGCTTTCTCCTTATAAGTTCATTCCATACCGGGCCAGACCGGAATAAGGCTTGGTTTACCTATGGATTCAAGGGTTTTAACAGGAGAAACTACACTGGCGACCAGTTGAATAATTTTATGAGTTTCAGAGTGGTGGACCCCTGCCCCTTCCATACTAGAAAAGAAGATGACAAGAAAGATGGGGAAAGAGATTGAGTTGTCTCACCTTTCCATTGTCAGCAAGGTCGGTCCAGTCATATTCTTTACACTTCTGAGCAGCACTCTCTGATAATGCTTTTCTCTTCTTTGAAGCTTCACTCACTTTTCCTTTACCAGCTTCTTCTTCCTCGTAATTTTCCCCATAAACCGATAGCTTGAATTCTTCTAATGCCTTCACAACCCCAGGTCTACAACAAAACATGCAGAAACAGAATGCCTTCTAAGCAGATAAAATAAGCAAAGGCAATAAGCTGTACTATTCTGCAGTGGTTTAAAAAAGAGAGACAAAGCTACACCATAATCATACCTAGCCATTCCTTCTTCATCAGGGACTGTTTCGTCGTTAACCTCGGGCATGTCATCTTCTTCCAGGGCTAAAGCCTGCAGTACTGCATAATGTCTCTGCAAGGCTGAAATATGTCTTTCATTATACATCAAGGATAAACATGCTCTCATAAAAAGTAAGGACACAAGTGATACCTTTTATCCGGCCTTTTTTTTTCCTCTTTTTTACTGTTGTGGTAGAAATCGTGTTTTTAGTGAAACCAAATTAAAGAAAACAATGGGGAACAAAAACAATGTCCAGCAGAAAGAGGCCCTGCCACAACTCTAGACCTACCAAAGTTGTGATGTCCCACATTGGTTGGGGAGGAGAACAAACCACCATTTATAAGGGTGTGGAAACCTTCCTCTAGCAGACGCGTTTTAAAGCCCCTTGAGGGGAAGCTCCCCCTCAAGGGAGAGCCCAAAGAGGACAATATCTGCTAGCGGTGGGCCTGGGTCTTCAATATCTGCTAGCGGTGGATCTGGGTCGTTACAAATGGTATCAGAGCCAAATACCAAACGATGTGTCAGCCTTATCGCTGTTCCCCAAATGGGGGTAGACACGAGGCAGTGTGCCAGTAAGGACGCTGGGCCCCAAAGAGGGGTGGATTTGGGGGCGGTCCCACATTGATTGGAGGAAGGAAAGAGTGCCAGCGAGGACGCTGGGCCCCGAAGGGGGTGGATTGTGATGTCCCACATTGATTGGGGAGGAGAACAAACCACCATTTATAAGGGTGTGGAAACCTTTCCCTAGCAGACGCGTTTTAAAGCCCCTTGAGGGGAAGCCAGAAAGGGAGAGCCCAAAGAGGACATTATCTGCTAGAGGATAGTAACAAAAATGTTGGGACACGGAAGAGAGGCATTAATTAGGGGCGTATGCATTTTATATGAGTTTATGTTACAGCAAGCAGCATGCCAACTTAGAATTCTGTAAACTACCATGTTTAATAAGGGAAGGAAAAAGTTCCACAAATAAAAATTCAGAAATAATAAATGCCAAGTGGTTGAGAAACTTGCAATTTACCTTTTTTTTTTCATATTAAAACTATTTTTATTCATTTCCATTTCAATTTTCTGGTTCCTAGCAAATTGAAGGTATGAATCTGTAACAATACCAGGATTAGCAAACTGGCAAACTGAGAAGTCTTTCAAGTCAATGCGTTTCATTAAAGCAGCGGCCTTTTTAACTTGATCATCAGTCGCTTTAGGTGCAACATTAGGATCCGGATGAAGCTGCAACATATTAAGTACTAATTAGCAGCAACTTTAAGAAACTACTCTGACCAACTAAAACATTTTTCTTGCCTCCTCAACATGTCGGATATCATCAGCATAAGGCAAATATAACATGTGCATTCCTGGTGGCTCGAGCTGTCCCCCAGCAGTAATAATCTCATCCTTTGTAGTTCCAATAAGACAAGTGCATTAAACTCAGAAATTAGAGCTCAACAACGCCTAAACCTTTGAGCAGTAAAATGACAACTGAAAGTCCTAAATGCAACAAAAGAAAAAAAAAAATCCATTCCGAAGCTTCAAAAATGTTCTCAACTTCAGTGATCTGATTTGATGTCCATTAAATCAATAACACAAATGAAAATTGGTAGCAGAGATGAGGAGAATAAGATAAAATGAGAGATGCATGACATTGCTAATGATAGTAGGATAGTTTCATCTTACTTGGGCCACAAGAGCAACTAGCTGGGGGCGAGATGGACTACCAAAAAAAGCAACTGCAAAACTGGGTAATAGAGAACAAAATGGTTATTGTATAGAACCACATCAGTTACAAATTTTAAAAATCTACCCATTAATCAATACTAAAATGGGGATTCAATGTTCATTTCAGTTACATATGTCAACACTTAATGGAGAAAGGATACAGTTCCAGATGGATTCTCGGGGAACCACATATTACGACAGATGGATGTACTTACAATCAAATTCTTCCCAATTGTCAAGATGTTTTAGCATAGAACACTTACAAGAAATTTCAAACTTAAAATTTATTCCTAAAGGATAAAGTAAAAACAAGAGAGAAAAAAAATATTAAGCTGAATCCGCCTACATACCTCGAATAGCTTGAATCAATGTTTTAAAAAGGTTTGTTCTCTTCAACAGACCCGACATCAACTGGGAAAAATATATCCCAAGCTTTTTTTTTCTTCTTCTTTGACAAGGGAACAAAACTTTTCAATGATATTATGAAATGTTATAAGTTCGAATAGGATTGCACGCCTATTGATAATTTGTGATCAACTTCCTTCTTTAGTATCCTATCCCAAGGGGAAAGTTGATTACCTGCCCCGTCATAGTTCTTAAAAATTTTCACCAAACATGATCCATTCTGTATACTATCTAAGGGATACTTCAGTTGTGGACCAAAGAGAGACCAATTTTTTACTTCAAGATTATATAGAGCTGGAAGATTCTAAATCTCTTCAATCTGAGCCCTTGGAGAAATTACTTCCTTCATTAATCTCTATATCCACGGCCCTTCCGTCATGATATCTAACATGAGGCTAGTTGATATCAGAATAAACCATACCAAACTTGCCACAGCATTGTTGGAGACCTTCTTCATAAGATACTAAATTTACTTAGAAACGGTATAATGCTCATTAAAGATTCTTGTTTCTCAGCACACTAAATTTCTTAGAATTTTCACCATCTTATTATTCATAATATTATATTTTTTTCATATCTAAAAGATTAATTGTTTCTCAAACAAAAAATGTTGCCACTTTTCTATGAGCTTTGCACTTGAGCCCCAAAGGACTGTCGCAGGTGCACTAAAAAACATTGGTACGTCGACAGTCATACAAATAAAATAACTGTGGAAGGAAAAAAGTTGCTACTATGAAATACAATTTTTGGACCAATGAAGAGAATCAATGTGTTTAATTATACAGGGTAAGGATGGGGTTATATGTACAAACCGATTGAGCTTCAACATGGATCTGTGGAGGGCAACGAAGATGCAAGTGCTACCAACCATTTCCTACAATAAAGACCGTCAAAATCTGGATTGGGGTTATTACGTAGACATTTGAACAGATTTCCTTTAATCAGTGATGACAAAATATTGAGGATCTTGAGAACCATCATATGTAGTTAGACAATATCCATCAGATTATTTATCATGTGAGTGGTTGTCAGAAGGAAGGAAAGAGGCCAGCGGTATTCATCATAGAGAGAAACAAAAATGTGAGTAGCCATCAAAACAGCCTAAAAGGTGAAAGCATGTTAAGGAGGCAGCAACTAACAATACACAATTTTGAAAAACACTAAGAATACAAATATACACAACACATAAAAGAGAGAAAAGATGCTAGGTAACCTGATCACTAGGATATAAAAATGTTGATGGCCGTAAATTGTG